ATATATTTTATTGATTTTTTACAGAGAGGAAGGGAGAGAGATAGAGAGCCAGAAACATCGATGAGGAGAAACATTGATCAGCTGCCTCCTGCACATCTTCTACTGGGGATGTGCCCGCAACCAAGGTACATGCCCTTGACCGGAATCGAACCCGGGACCCCTCAGTCTGCAGGCCAACGCTCCATCCACTGAGCCAAACCGGTTTCGGCACCAGTGTGTTCTTTATTTGTGCTATATCATTCTTTATTTCAGCCTGTGTTTTTTTTTCATATTTACTATATCTTTTTTCTTATGCTGTTGAGTATCTTTACCATCATTATTCTGAACTCTATATCAGATAAGTTTCTTATCTTCATTTATTTTCTGGAGCATTCTCTTGTTCTTTCTTTCTTTTTTTTTTTGTCTCCCCATTTTGGTTGCCTTTTTGGGTTTGTGACTATGTATTAGGTAGGTCTTGCTATGCCTCCAAATCTCTAGTGCAGGACAGTCAAATGCTGTTTCTGACTAATTAGATCAGGCAAAGACTCAAATCCTCCAGAGACTCACCTCTGCCTACAGATTGATTGGATTCATTTTAAAAAATATCTTCATTTATTTTCTGGAGCATTCTCTTGTTCTTTCTTTCTTTTTTTTTTTGTCTCCCCATTTTGGTTGCCTTTTTGGGTTTGTGACTATGTATTAGGTAGGTCTTGCTATGCCTCCAAATCTCTAGTGCAGGACAGTCAAATGCTGTTTCTGACTAATTAGATCAGGCAAAGACTCAAATCCTCCAGAGACTCACCTCTGCCTACAGATTGATTGGATTCATTTTTAAAAAAATATATTTTATTGATTTTTTACAGAGAGGAAGGGAAAGGGATAGAGAGTCAGAAACATCGATGAGAGAGAAACATTGATCAGCTGCCTCCTGCACACTCCCCACTGGGGACGTGCCCGCAACCAAGGTACATGCCCTTGACCGGAATCGAACCCGGGACCCTTGAGTCTGCAGGCCGATGCTCTATCCACTGAGCCAAACCGGTTAGGGCTGGATTCATTTGGAGTAGCCCTCAGGCAATTGTCCACGGGTGTGGTGAGAGGTTTCCGACAGGGTGGGGCAGTTGCTTCTGCCTGGAGGCTAGTTGTTATTCTCAGTCTCTTAATGGGTCTCAGAAATGCCACATGGTGGGGCAAGGGGTTTTCCAATAGGGTGGGTCAACTGTCTTCCCCCCAGGCAAAACCACCTGGATAACAAAATTCTGCCTGAGAAAGATGACCTCTGCAATGTGAGGAATGACTCAACACAGAAAACCAGGTTGTCTGCCCTCTGAGCTCTAACCCTAGAGCCCCTAACCCTGACTTCTGCTCACACAGCTCCAGTCCACTCTGCCCTCCCTCTCCTGGAGCCCAAGGTGAGTGTCTGCACACGAAATTTTGTGTATTAGCCCTTTAAGAGAGTGCCTGCATTTCTAGGCATCTCTCCCTGGAAGATAGCAACCCTGCTGCTTTTCACAGCCAGATGTTTTGTGGGCACCTTTCTCAGTTCTGGTGCTCTCTGCTGGGCAGCCCAATTGGGGATTAGACCCCAGAGTTCTCAGTGGCAAACCCACACAGCTGAGATATCTCTCCAGAACTTCAGCTGCTGTCTGTGGTGCCCAGCCGCTCTTTTGTGCCTCTGCCCTTCCTACCAGTATCTATGTGGTCCCCACTTTCTGTCTTTAGTTATCAGGGTTCTCTTCAGCTAGTCTTCAGTTGATTATTTGTGATTTTTCTTGGTATTTTAGTTGTAATTCCAGTTTGGTCCTGGGAGCGTGTCTGTGTAGCATCCACTTACTCCACCAACCATTTTTAATTCCTTAAATTGGGTTTTCTTTTCAGACACCCAGAATTCAGTACTAGGGTGCTGTTCTCATAATATCCACCAGAAGGCCCTATTGCCACAACTCCCTGCAAGGGCAAGAGCTCCCTGTCTGTCCATTGGGTTTTGTCTTCGCTGAGCTAGAGACCAGAGGCGCCCCACCCCCCCGCCCCCCAATTCCAGTCCTTTCAACTCCTCCTTTCTGCTCTTGGTGTTGGCCCCGGGGCTCTCAGAAAATCCCAGTACACTCTTGGGTGCCTAGCCTTCACAGCCTGGCCCCTCCCACGAGGCCTGCCCTGCCCCCCACAGCACCACTGTCTGGAGGGCTGCACAGGGGTTGCTGGCGGCTGCACCTCCTGGTGCTCAAAGCAACCCCAGCCTGGTGATTCAGTATGAAGGGCGTCAGAATTGTTTCTGCGTGACTTCAGTGCTTTGTTCCAGAAGGTTCCATCATGTGTCCTGCTGGACTCATGCATGCTGGCAGCCCTGGGCAAATGCTTCCCGCCCTGCATGAAGGCTCCTGGGCTCTGCTTTGCCCCTTGGGATCCACTCCCATCAGGACGCTGCTCCATGGTCAGCAGCCGGCACCCCGACAGTCCGGTAACCCAGTGCCCTGTGAGAGTGTAACCACCAAAGTCCTTCAGCCTGTTTTCTAAGCTGAAGTTAACAAGACACTATGCAGTCCAGCCTTTGCAATGGAGCCTGGTGCCCTCTGCGTCTCCAGAGCACCTCTGGGCACCCACCCCCTCAGAGGCAAGCCCAGTTGCCAGTAGGCTCCCCACTGAGCCAGAGAAGCCAGGCACCCTTGGGCTGTCCCCTGCAGCAGGGGTTGCAGGAGATGAGGGCAGGACGCAGGGGCTGATTCTGCCCGCAGGGCACCTGTGGCAAGTCTGGGAACAGGTTTGATTGCCACCCAGGAATGGGTGATCAGGGCAGTGCTGACATGGTACAAAGCACAGCATGCCCCCACCACAGAGAGCCACTGTAGATCTGTGCTACACCCGGCCCAGGGGACATGGCTGGTGCTGAGACGTTCCCCAGCTAGCCCCATGGCCGTGCTGTGCCCGACATCCATGTATGGGGCAGTGTGCTTGTCGGGGATCTCCAAGGGCGACTGATCTCTGATCGGACGCCCTATCCAGGGTGCTCTCCCCATCTCATGGCTGTGCAGTGGGTCCCTAAGTGCTGCCCTGGCGATGGGGTTGGGCCTGCCCTTCCTGGTGCAGTAGCAGAGGGGTGGATGGCTGAAATGTGATCCAAGTACCTGCATCCCTAGCTGGCGGGCGCTGAGAGTGTGGCTGGGATTGCCTCCCTTTGCTTCCAGGGTTGGGCTACAGAACCCCATCCGCTTCTTCCCAAAAAAAGGATCGAAAAGGTTATCCTCCAGGAAGAAGCCCAAGTGCTGGGTGACACTTGAGGTCTGGGGTGGCCGTGGTCAAGCAGGGGGTGGTGCTCTTTGTCCACTTTGGGTGAGGCTTCCCTGTGCCCCTGGGCCTCTCCTCCCACCCACCCCAGCAGGTTACCCAGCTCAGACTGGGGCAGTCCCCACCCCCCGTACAGGGTCTATCCTCTTCTGCTGAAGCAGAGGCTGTACCACCCACCCCTGCAGAGCCCTGGGCAGCACACATGGGGGACACGAGCTGGTGAACCCAGACCACCCGTGTCCCCACCCCGCCCGCCTGGACCGAGACTGGTGTCAGTGTCTTTACTGAAGGAATTTATTGTTCCGGAACTAAAGTTGCTCACAGTTATTTGACAGGGGTACATGGGGTGGGCTTGTTTGTTTCCGTGACGTCTGCATGTGTCCCAAGTACAAAAGAGGAAGGCTGACGAAGAGATATTGCTTTCGGTGTCCTCTGCCTCTTGAGAAGCCCCCGCTTGTACCTGTGGCTTTGCTGTTATCGGGCGTGTAATAGTTCTTATGTGGAAGCCCCAGCCTGTGGCGGGGCCAGTGGACAGAAGCGTTAAAATCTATCCTCGACCGAGGGCGGGCAGGCGGGCGGGCTGCGGGGAGACACCAGAAGCAGAGTGGACCCGTCACAGCAAAGGCATGCAATCAGACCTGCCCTCCCGGCCTCCGGCTGCCCGGTCCCTTGACACCGCGGGGTCTGTGCGCCGGGCTGGCCGTACCCACAGGAAGAAACGCAAGCATTAGCTGGGGATGGAAAGCGGGCGGCCGCACCCGCACAGGAAACACTGCAGAGGACGCCGCTGACTCTGTTCTTGGTTATGTGGTGTTTTTTTTTTGTTTTTTTGTTTTTTTTCACGTTTTGTCATTTTAGTAAAAAACTCTGCGGTGCCCCTGCCATCCTGTGAGTGGGTGGGGGCCAGCCCAGGGCCTTCCTCCTACCCTGTTCTCGGACACAGAACCAAGAGGGTCCCCATCCTGGACCGGGTGGAGGGGCCCTGGGCATTGGCGCCCATGGGACTGGAGTTGCTTCTACCCAGGACGGACAGAGCAGACAGAGTGGCCTGCGCCGTTCTTTAAATATATATATGTGTGTATATAGAAAGAACCAAGAGCAAGAACCGAACACAAAACCTAGCCCTGCCCAGCGGCTCCCCTCCCCCACACCCTTTTCCAAAAACAACCAAGAAAAAAAGTTTATAAAAATATCTTGCAGGAATTCTTTAAAGTTTACAGTAGCTTGCCGGCACTGCACCCACCGGCCTGCCCCCCAGTGCCCCATCGGCTGCGTCCTCAGGGCACCTGGGCCCAGACCCACCCTGCCCGAGACAGACAGACAGACAGACAGACGGCAGGAAGATGCTGCTGCTGCCCCTTCCCTGAACAGAGAAGTAAAGAAACTCAATAAGTTAAAACAGCAAATAAATAATACTGATCTCGGCCAGCCTGCTGCCTCTGGGTCCAGTTCCACCCGAGCCAGGACAGGAACGCAGGCCCGAGAGCACCTGCAGCAACGAGCCGGGGGGACTGGGTGCCAGCTAGCATCAGCGTGGGTGCCGAGGTGTCGATGGACTGGGGAGGGGGTTCTGCAGAAGGAAGGGGCTGAGGAGAGGCTGCAAGCGCCCTCTGCCCGCCTCTCAGATGCTTCGCCCACCACGGCCCCGCCCTGGAGGCAGCCTGGGCGACAGGACCTGCCGAGGGCTCGAGTCACTGCAAGTCTGTCGGCAGGCTGGAGGCAGCTTCCCCTCGGAGCCAGGTCCTCCTCCCCATGGCCATGCGGAGCAGAAACCGGGCAGAGTGCCACGCGGGCAGGTGGACGGAGGCAGTGGCGGTGGGCAGGGCCTCGCCGCCGGGCACGCCGCAGCAGCAGGAGAGGAGAGGCAGGTCCACGGCAGCTGCCTTCAGCGGGCCGGTGTCCGGCGCGGAGCCCAGAGGACGGCCTCGTGGAGGTGACATGTTAACTTTTCGGGATAATTCCTGGTATCAGAGTGGAAACAGTGACGTTGTCAGAGACAGGCAGAGAGAGAAACAGCGAGAGAAAGAGAGAGCAGGCACGGGTGGACCGGCCACAGGCCCTGGCCCCCGGTGCCCCTATCCTTTCCTCCCCCGCTTCACACCAGTCTAGATGGGTAGGTGGGTGTGGCCCTGGGTCCACTCAGGGCGGGCAGGTGGCTCGGTAGCCTTGGTGGCCACTGTCAGGGCCGTGCTGGGGGGGGAGGGGCTATGTGTCTAAGGCTGCTCGTGGCGGGCGGCGGGTGGCCCCGTCTTGGCCGTGTCCTTGCCCGTTGGGTACTCGGCATCCCCTCCAGGGCCAGGGCCAGCGGCCGCCGAGTCACCGAGTGGACTGTGGGCACTCCGCTTGGCGGGCGTGCTGGGGGCCTGGGCCGCCTGCCCGTTCTTCTCGTCTGAAAAAAGTTGTTTAATTACGTCAAAGAAGTTACTCAATGGGCTGCCTGGGTACACAGAACAGAAGACAAAAGAAAAGAAAAAAGAAAAAAAAGGGGCGAGAAAGAGGAAGGGAGGGAAGGAGAGAGAAAGAGAACAAACAAACAAATGAACGAAAGGGCCTTGGCGAGAGAAAGAAAAACCCAACGAGATGAGGTCTGAGATGGGCGTAGGGGGTGGGGACAGGTGACAGCAAGCAGGGTGGGCAGGCGGCCGGCCGGCGGGGTGCCCTCTGTGCCAGGGGCTCACAGGAGGGGTTGGGGCTTTGGGGACACGAGCTGGGACCTCTAGGCCTCTGAACTGCGGGGCAGGAACCCAAGGCAGGTGGAGAGACCCCTCCTCCCTCACCAGGCCTGGCCTTGCAGGTGCAGCGCCTCCCTTGGCCTCAGCCAGACACGGAACTCAGACACCAGTCTCAGAGTCTCCCCTTGTCAGCTCCGTGGCCTTGCTGGCCGGCCGGCCCACTCTGAACTCAGAGCCACAAAGACAGGGCTTCCACATCCCCAGGGAGCAGGAGCCTGGGACGGGCGTCTGGCTCTTGGCAGGAGGCCACGGGGTCTGCTCTGGGTTGGGAGGCTGGAGCCAGCGTGCCTGCCATACTCCTCCCCTGGCCAGCCCAGGCCACACAATGTGGAGACAGCGGACAGACAGATGGAAGGATGGATGGACAGGCATGGAGAGCTTGGGTGTGGGAGGGTGGGGGGCAGGCAGCCAGAGTGGGAATGTCCTGAGGTCAAGAGGAAGGGGTAGGATGGGATGACCACCCTGACCTGGGGCCTGTGCTCCCTGTCCAGGTGCACTGATGGGGCACCTTTGCTTTAGTTCCTAAACCTGAGCCCTGCCAGGTCCCTCCTCTCCCTGCCAGGTACAGTGGGAGGGGAGTGTTGTATGGCCTGGGTAGCTCACAGGTCCCAGCAGGAGCGGCCCCTGCTCCTGATTGCACTCCATTGTGATCCCCGGTCAGAGCCTGCACATGCGACCCTCGCTGGTCTCAGGGCATGCTCTGAACACGGGTCCCTCCCGGGCCCACCCTGATCCTGGCCAGGCCTGTGCTGCTATTGGATGAGTGACAGGGTGCTCCTGGCAGAGGCAAGAGGCTGGGCGTGCAGGGGCCTACCCTGAGTCCCGTGTGTGTCTGGGCCCCAAGCTACACACAGACCCCAGGACAGCCCCAGGGGTGGCAGGCGCAGCACCCAGCCGGGAGCGGGTTGCAGGTGGGGTGATAGGCGGGAGGCCCAGGCGATAGGGGTTCTTACCACACTTGGAAAGCCTCCCCGTCATCATCTCCACACAGTTAGTGGTGTCTGGAGCACAGAACGGAGAGAGGGGGATGTGAACACAGCTTCCCACCAGCCCCTCAGGGACAAGTAGAGGCTCAGGGCAGGGAGTGGGGTCTGAGGGGTGGAGCCCAAAGGGGTAGGTATGGAGTGGGCGGGCTCAGAGTGCAGGCATTAGGTGAGGGCCACCTGGGCAGTAGAGGGTCCTGCCAGAGCCTCTCCCGCTGTCCTGCCCTGGGTCCAAGACAGGCTGTGGAGCTGAGAAGCCCACGACTTTGGCCATGGTCTGCACTGGCCACCCACGTGTCCTCACCCTGCAGGCCTGCAGTACCCTACCCTGACCCTCCCATCTGCTGCTGGGCCTGGGAGCGTTGGTGCTGGCAAAGCCCTCGCTGCAGGTGGGATGTGCCCTCTGGGCCTCCCCTTTGTAGGACAGGCTGGGGCCCTGTTGGAGTGGCCACCAGAGGACTTGGTGTGGTGGTTGAAGGTCCCTCTTTCTACCCACCTCCCATGATGGCCCTGGGACTGAGCTTGCTGGACAAGAGCATCCAGTGTGGGAGGGAGGCCAGGGGATGGGGTCAGGGAATGGGCTGAGGTACCAGTTTGGGATCCCCAGGAAGAGAACTTGCTGAAGGAGGGTGAGGGAGATGGGTGAGGGCCCAGAGCTCATTGGTCCAGGCCAGCAAGGCCCTGCTCTGGGATGGCTGTAGGCACAGAGGCCTGCTGGACATAAGCATGCCAGGCCCTGGTCTTGGCTCCCCTTCCCAGACAAGCTTTGTTCTTCCCCAGCTTCAGTTTCCCTGTCAGCATTGCACTGCTCCAGATGGAGACCTTAACAGCTCAGGAGCCAGAGGCACCTGGCCTGCCTGCTCCCCACCCTAACAGCCAGGAGAGCGGGCCCACACCTGGGCTAGGGCCAGGGTGCTGAGGGACATGTTAGGGAGAAGAGGAGGGCAGTGAAAAACAGACGATGGAATGAGGATGGCAGGGTGGGGTGGGCGCTGGGCCGGCCTGGCCTTTAGAACTCCACACAGAAGCACCACAGGTCGGGGGAAGGGCCCACTGAGGCCCCAGCTGGCCGCAGGGGGTTCAGAGAGGCAGACGAGGGCTGGACACCTTGCGCCCTAGGCCCCAAACGTCAGAACAGGCCTCACGACAACCCCGCACCTCACCGCCATCCAGACACACACTGCACACCTTCACCAATAGATGGCGACTCACGCAGGGCTCACACACCCATACCAGTGCAGCCCACCCCCACCAGGCATGACCCTTGGGCCTGGGAGCCCCTTTCCCTGGATGGCTTCTCTAGGCCCAGTTGGGGAGCCCTTGCTTTGACTGGGGCCTGAGGCCCCTTTTGTCCTGCTCAAGGCCAGACAGTCACAGGCTTCAGGGAGGGCAGATGGCAAACAACCCCACCACATGTCAGGCTCCAGGGCCACAGCCCTCACAGGGCGCTGCTGCGGGGGAATCCCAAGGGGCCAGGGCTCCAGGCAGGACCTTGGCCACTGCTCTCCCGGGGCCTGCTCTCGCTGGGGGGTCCCGGGGCCAGCCTGCCCTGTGCCCCGAGACTCAGCCTGGGCTCTGGACCTGCACGGCTTGTCAAGGGCCAGGAGCTGGCCACTGGCCATGTGAGTGGGCACAGGGTGCCCTTCTCAGGGCCAGCCTGGCTCTTGCCAGAGGACATGACTGCAGCCCCCTCCTTGCCCCAGTGGTGGGGCGGGACACCTTACCTGCCAGCGTCAGAGGCTACTCTCGTAGCTGGTGGCCACCTTCTGGCCTTTAAGCCCAGCACCCCAGCTTAGTCCTGGCGCTGGCGGGGAGGGTTCTACAGTGGACAAGAGGTGCCTTTCAGTGTGGTGTGCTGGGCCCTACCTCCCTGGGTGTGCAGACTCGGGCTGGCCCGCTGTGCTGGGGAGGCCCTGCTCCCTGGGGGGCGGCGGAGGGGCCACGCCCACTCGATGGCCCACAGGGCGGCCGAGCTGAGCGCCGCCTCACCTGACAAGTGCTGGGTGGAGGGCTGGTCGTGTGTGCTCAGTAGCTGTGTCTGAATGGTCTCCACGACCCTCTTGAAGCGGCGGCTTGGGCCTGGGGGAGACAGGGGGTTAAGCCTGGGCGAGGTGGCCGGAGCCCGTGCCCTGGACCCAGCAGCTCACCTGATAGAAGCGTGAATGTGACAGAGTAGATGCCGTTCTCCTTCTGTGCCGCCCCACCCTCGCTGTAGGTGATGTCCACCTGGAACTTGACAGGCTTCTGGAACACTGCCGGGCCCCCTGTCGCCTTGTACTCGGCCCGAAAGCTGGTCTGGGAGATGACGCTGTGGCTGAGACTGGGAATCTGCAGAGTGGCAGTTCGGTGTGAGCAGGGACCCAGCCCCCACCCTGAGCTCCTGAACTGGGACCCACAGGCCAGCCCCTCCAGCCTCATCTGTGAAATGGGTGCAGCTAGCCTCCACCTGGGGAGGCCATCACCAGCAGGGCCCTCGGGATGTGGCCATGAGAGCCAAGAGCAGGACTGACCGAGACCCGGGGCAGGGCTTTCTAAGGAGCGATGAGTAAACATGCAGGTGGGAGGGGGACCCCCAGAGCAGCAGTGAGGACAGGGGACCAAGGCTGAAGCCTCTGTTGGCACTGAGAACAGCCACCTGAGGCCAAGGCCAGGGCCATCGCTGACAACAGTGCCTGAGGCTCTGCACCTGGTCGACACCCGCTGTATATACAAAGGAAACTGGTCACAACAAACTCAGCAGGCAATCTTGCCTCAGGGTCCCCCCCAAGAGAGGATTCTGCCCCCAGGAATGCCCAGCACCCGAGGTCAGAAGGGCCAGCCATACTGGGAAGCATTAGAGGGCAGTGGCTGAGTCCATGCCCCACGGGGAGGGACTCTTGGTGTTCCAGGAACAGTAGAAGGGGCCTGGAGATCATAGGGTGGGGTCAGGGGGGACAGAGGCCCAGACCTGGGCCCTAAGGAAGAGAGCAGGGTACAGGGGAGTCAAAGGGGCCAGTGTGCCTGTGTCCAGCATGAGGTTGACCCCTGCCTGGTTCTGGGCTCTCCTGGCCCCTGAACCTCTGGGAGGAGCACCTGCTGTCCTCATAGCCCTAAGGGAACCTGGGCGGCAGCCGGTGACAGGGAGTGCTGAGACTGGGCTCAGAGAAACCCCCGGCAATCTCTGCCCACCTGGTGGTGGGGCTGGAGCTGCAGCAGCTAGACCCCCTCTGGTGATCCTGGGATCTCCCCTAAGCTGTGATCCTGGGGCCCCCTGGCATGAATCTGGAAGAAAACCCTCAGGGCTTTCTGCTCCCTGTGCCTGGTGATTTGGCAAAGACAAGGGAACCCATAGAAGGCCCAGTGTAGCCCCCTCAGCACTATAGGCCTCGGTGGGAGGCAGGGGCTGCAGGAGGCCGGCAGCATGTGGGGCATGCAGAGGGCACTCAGGAAACAGGCCCCTGGGGACTGTTCCTGAGGCCTTGGCACATCCCCTGGATGTGGCAGAGGTCCCTCTATTGAGGCTGCCTGCGCATCAGCCCTCGGGGCGTATCCCTGTCCCCAGTGCCACCCTCCATCACAGCCCAGCCTGGGACCTGTTCACAGCATGGCTTGCTTTGTCAACGCCTCAACCCGCCAGCCACACGTGTCCCTGCCTGGCCCACACCTGCTCCTCCAGGGTCCCCTTCTCCTCACCCCCGGGGCAGGCGGAGACAGTGTCTGTCTGTCCAGTGAATGGACCCTCTGGGGAGGGACAAGGCTCACCGACAGGAAGGCATGAACGATGTCAGCTTTGATGGAGCTCAGGGGCTTGTCCTTGATGACCAGGAAGATCTGCTCCTCCTTCTCGAGGCTGATGAAGTTCCCGAACCAGGACTTCTTGGCCAGCCTGCGGGGTGGAGCGAAGGGCTGCTCACACCTCGGGGACAGGCCTGCCCTGCCCCTGACCCCACCATCCTGACCTCCCGACTGCCTCCTGAGCTCTGATTCACCCTGCTCTGGACTCTGAGCCCCTGCCCACCCTGATATTACCATCCTAACCTCGACCTGCCTTGTCCCTGTCTCCACTCACACCCTGATCTCTCCACCCATGCCTGACTCGATAACCCTACTGCTAATCCCACAGCCCTGGGCCTAACACTCCATCCTCCCCCCTTGTCTGGGCCCAGCAGTACCCACTGGAACCCAACCAGAAGGGTATGGCACCATGACCCTGGGGTGATTTGCTGTGCGGCAGTCCCACAGCCTCCTTGAGGAAAGTGGCCCCCACCCAGGGGGGGCTGTGAGGGGAGCAGGAGCATGCGGGAGCTGGGGTGGGATTGGGGCAGGCCAGGCACCCTTGGGCAGGCCATGGCTATAAATGGCTGAGACATGGCGCAGAGGAGGGACAACCTCAGCTTCCCCAGGCCACCCTTGTCTCCGCCCTCAGGGACTGGTGGCCCTCGCTGCCTGCCTCCCTGCTGCCCCAGCCCAGGCCACTCCATGGGACTGGGCTGCTGGGCAGGGCGGGGATGCAGCCCAGAGAGCCCCAGGCTGGCAGCACCTTCTCACATGAGCCCTTACCCCATTGCGCTCAGGGCCACCCTCCCGCCTTGGTCGTCAATGCTGACCTGGTCACTGTGGCCTGGTCTGGGGCTGCCCCTGAGGTGGAGCCCTCCCCGTGACAGTGTGGGATAGACGCCCACCACCCTGCCTCCAGGATTCACGCCTGTGTGGCCCTTCCTATGGTGTGGGTGGGCCAGTGACCAGCTTCTGACAAGAGAATGTGGAAAAGTGGAAGTCATCTCCGAGATCGGGCCACAAAGTTTGACTCCCCTCTCACCGCTTTGTTGAAATGGACCAACTGGTGAGAGGCCCACGGGGACCTGAATCCGGCCCACAGCAGCTCCTGCTCCTGTGCAGCCATGAAGGCCACAGCCTGTCATCCCTAAAGTCAAGCACCCAGCTGGGCGTGGCTAGTCCTGACCACTGAGAGGACAAGCATGCATCGTTTTACGGTGGAATGTGTTTGATTCGTTTGTCATGCAGCCATTGATGACTGGCAAATCCTGGCCAACTTCTTGCTGCCTCCCTTGCAGCTACAGTGTAGACACATGACCACTCTACCTGTCCAGTGATGAGAAGCAGCAGCCAGGCCCATGGCATTAGTAGGGCACTCCAAGGTACTCTACACTGGCCTGGGCATGGCCAACAGTTTTCCTGGTTGTGTGACATCTTCCCTTTTCCTGCCCATTTCCAGAGCCACTCTTCAGCTGCTGTGACAATGACCAACCCACCTGCCAACAGTGTCCCTGTCCTCCCTCGTCAGCCCGGTGCAGGAATCCCAACAGAAGATGTGAAGAGAGGACATCGAGGACCCCACACCCTCATTCAGCCACCTCAGCTCCCTGGCTGTCTGCCATGTTGAGCGAGTGCGGGCTGCTGGCCTGAGCTGCACAATGCTGCACCCAGGACTACGCCGGGCCTGGAGCCCACAGCTGGGGCTCGTGCCTTCTGCAGACGAGTTACAGTGAAAACTGGCTTTTTGTACTTTGACACCAGAGGTTTGAACAGTCCCGGATCTGAAAGAAGCCTGGCTGAGCTGGGAAGGCTAATAGAGGGTGTGTGGGGACAAGCCTGTGACGGTAGCTCAAGGTGTCAACTTGGCCTGTCTGGTCCAACATTGGGTGTTGCTTCTTGAAAGACATCTTATCGACGTGGTAGTTGTTACCAGCGAGGTCCTGCAGGCCAGCCTGCGACATCACCCAAGTTCTATTTCCCGCCTGCTGACCCCAGTCTCAGGCCCGCTAGCATCATGTGCACACCCACCCGCAACCTCCTGGTTTTGGTTTCCTCGGGGACCCTGACTGACACAGGGCTCCTAGAAGCTGCAGGTGGAATGTCCTGGGACCAGGAGCATGTCTTGTGCAGGAGGCTCTGGGGGGCTCACTGCACCCCGCTTCCGGGGACACCTGCACCTGCTCATTCCCACCAGGCTCTTGGGCAGGGACAGGCCCCATGGGCCTCAATGGAATGGAGGGGCACAGGCCATCGGCCGCAGCACGTGACTGTGTGATTTTGTAAATTCCCTGAAAGTCCAGCAGTTACACTGCAGGCAAGTTTGAGAAGGCTTTTCAGGGCAGCAGAGACTGGCAACTGAAGGGATGCAACCAGTGGGACTGCAGAATCCCCCTAACCCAGCGGCTCCCGGCTCGCACCTGCACCCACATGCACAACACCATGACAACTTCTCTCTCTCAGACAGCTGGCCCCACTGCCTTCACTGCCAGCGCAGCCCCCCACGCCCTGCCCTGTGTCTACACCGCATTTCCTGTTCACACCACCACCCGAGGACGAGGGAGCCGAGGCCTCAGGGAGGGCGGGCACTTGCGCAGGTCTCTCCAGGACCTTGGCTGGAGACCCTGAGTGGGGGGCATTTCCGTATGCAGATCTTCTGCGGGGTGGGGGGCGGTGGCCCTGTTTCCCCATCACTCCCACGGCCCCTGCATCTTCCTTTCATGTGATGATGATCCGAGGGTCACTCTGCACCTGGCCTTGGCCAAGGCCACCCCATACGCTGGCTATCCCTCCTCCTCGCCTGCACCGATTTCACCTTGAAATCCTCCATCCTTACAACCGGACATGTCTGGCCACCTTCTGGGCTCTGCTCTGCCCAGCACCCTTCCCTGATGGAAACCCCTGTAGCAGGCACCTCAGACCAGTCCTGGAGGCCTCCCCATGCTCAGCACATCCAGGGCAGACGCTGTGTCTGAAGTGTGAGCAAGCCGGGCCCCTGTGGCTCCCTCGTGTGGAGGCCAGGGCTCAGCAAGTATGCAGCAGTCCCTCCGAGGAGTGGCTATGCCGTACTGCCTCCAGCCAGCATAGGCCCTTCTCCCAGGCTGTGGCTCAGAGCAGAACTGAACTGTCCCCTAAGGGCTCCCCCACCATCCTAGGCCCTGCTCCCCGCCTGGTGTTCAAAGTGCAGGAGGCTCCGAGATGTGCACGCTGGAGAGGAGGTAGCTGAGGCAGGAGGTGGAGGAGAGGACCAGCAGCAGCAGGGGCCACAGGGAGAAAGGGAGAAGGACCTGTGGGCTGGGATGCTCAGCCGGAAGCCCTTGTGGATTCCGTGGCCTGTTATGTGGGAGGGTACCCTGCCCCCCCCCCCCCCCGGTGCTCTTGGCATCCTAGCACCAGGCAAGAGGTTGACAGATTCCACCTGCTCCGACGGCCACTTACTCTGGGGAGGACTCCGGGGTCAGGTTGGACATCTCCTCTGGCGTCGGGACTGTGCACAGGAAGGAGAGAGAGAGAAGGTGTGGTGACCACTATGCCCTCCCCTTAGGTCCTGCACCATGGGGGGTCCTATGGAGCACCCACATGCTGTCTAAGGGCGCGTTCTTGGTCAGGGCCTTGGGAGCCTTGGGCCATTGGGAGCTGTCCTGACCCCTGGTGCTGAAACCAGGCTAGGCCTGCTCTGGCCTTCAGCCAGTCCTGCTGTCCCTCCAGGTGTTGGGTGTGCTGGCTGGGCTCTCCTTGGGTGTGTGCCCGGCATCCCCTTGGGGGTGAGGAGGGGACTGCCCCTTGGCACTGGGCCCCACGCCTCACCCCTTGGCTGTGCAGTGGGGCTGGTGAGCCCAGATAGCCAGCCACTGTCACATGACCCTCAGCACCCAGCACACAGGGGCAGGCTTCCCTGCATTACCCTGTGGGCTTCGTGACCATCATGTCCACACCCACCCAGTGGCCATCTCTCCTCCCTGGGCCTCAGGCAGCCCGTACTGAGGAGGCCACTGGGCTGAGGAGAAGCAAGGGTCCCAGGAGGGCTCCCAAGGCTGTGCCCACTGGGTGCCAGGTCTGCACTGAGTGGGCCCAGGCACAGGTTGAGCAGGCTGGTAAATAGTGGAGATCTGTGATGCTGCCTAGGCCTGTGCCAGTCTAGCAGACCTGGGAATGATCCAGTGCTTTTGGTAGGGTGGCCCCTGCCTGGCTCCACTCGCCCCGCTGGCCAGGATGAGCAGTGCTCCACTTGCCCCGCTCATCGCCTGTGCCCTGCCGTCACCGAGCTCACCCTGCAGTTTCCGGCGGTGGAAGCGAGGTGACCCCAGGAAGCTGTTCTTGATGGAGTTGAGCCTTGTCCTCCAGGGCACCCCTCCAACGCTGGGGCTGGATGGCGGTGTGGGGTTGGGTGTGCCAGCTGGGCTTTCCTTGGGCGTGTGCACTGGCGTCCCCTTGGGGGTAGGGAGGGGACTGCCCCTTGGAGAGGGGTGAGGGGTCACCTGTATGGTGGGGACAGATTTAGTGTTTGGTTCAGTCCCAGTGAGCAGAAGCCGGGTGGGGGCAGGCAGAGGGGCCAGCCCCAGGGGTGGGGCCAGTTGGGGGCCAAGGCCGCCAGGGACAGGGTGCCGGGCCTGGGTGCTGGCTGGGAGTGGGTTGGACTTGGTGCCCTGCAGAGGCTTGTCGGTCAGCTTGGCCTTGCTTGGCAAGGTTTGGGTCTTGGGGTTGGGCCGCGGGGCGGCCTGTGGAGGGAGGACGTGTCCAGGCCGAGAGGCGCTCTGACAAACTTCGGGCTCCATGGAGGTGGCCAGGGTGCAGGCCACGAAGGGAAGTTCAGGGGGAGGGGGAGGCAGCACAAACTTCCTAACAGGCTACAGGGCAGGCACCGAGGGCAGGGAGTGGAGTGTGGGTCCGCCATGCAGGAGTCAGCCATGCATCCGTGCCCCCCACCCACATGCACACAGAACCCCAGGAAGACCCACGGGTGCAGGCATGTGGGGGCGGAGCATTTGCCACGAAAGAAAACAAGTAACACACAAGAAAACACACAAAACAAAACAAAAAACGTGCAGTTAGCGAGAGCAGCCAGAGCCGCAGAACGGCAGCACCACGCGTGGCCCCCAGCAGGTGGGAATGGCGGGGCCTCTTCCAGGGCCGCCCGGCCCCTCCCGAGCACCTTCGGTTTGGGAGCCTGAGTGGAGGGGGCGTCACTCACCCGGGGGCTGCTGAGTGGGCTGGTGGAGAGGCCTGAGGAAGCGCCGCTGATGGATCGGGACCTGGGGACACAGGTGCAGAGCGGGGCTCAGCTGAGACAGGCCACGGGTGCACAGCTTCTCTTCCCACAGGAGGCCTGGGTGCCCAGGACTGTCCTGCTGTCCCCACCCCGCCTGTCCTCATCAGGAGAGACCCTGCAGCCTCTTTGGGACCCCCGTCGGAGCCCCATGGTGCAGCCTTGGAGCCCTCTGCCAGTGTCTGCAGGGGCTCAGGTGGGCAAAGGGATGAGGAAGGTTGCAGATTTCTGGAAACTGAACCCAGCCTGTGCCAGGCCCCTCTCCACACTCCAGCTGCCAGGAACCACCTGACCCCCAAGGCTGTGCTGGCCCAGGGCCACCAGCTGGGCATTAGCCAGCCCCTTGGCACCCACAGCCCACCTGCCTGGTCCAGAGCTGCCCACAGCAGGCCAGCCCTTGGCCCTCTCCTCACTTGCATGACCAGGGCCTGGGCAAGACGAGGCTGGGGTGGACACTGATCTTTTTCCACCACAGGCTGCACTGGGCCTGCAGGCCTGGCCTGGGCATAGCTGGACCCAGGGTGCCCAGCTGAGACAGGCACACAGCTGTGCCCCCTTGGGGCAGACACGGCCTGCAGGGACTTACCACACCTGCGGTCCTTAGGGAAAGGAATGGGACTGGGGGCTGATGCAGCCCTAGGAAAGGACAGGGGAATGGTGCACTGCCCTGCCACCTGCCCACCCCAGCCAGCATGGCCTGGAGAGGGGTCTCGCCTGCCACACCTTGGCCTGGCCCCTGGGCCTGGGGGAGGAATGGAGCCCATGCTGGCCAGACCTTGGCTCCTGGCCACTCCACCAGCACCTGTGAGCTGGGGCCCCATGGCCATGACCGTCGTACTCTCCCACCTGGCCCAGGCCCACTGTCACTCAGCACTGACCCTGCCCCAGTCCCCCAGCCCAAAGCTTTCCGATGCTGAGTCCCAGTTGGGGCCCCCCAACAGCCACAGTGAGGCCCAGTGCCTGGGGCCTCCCACCGAGCCAGTGCAAGCTTGTGGCTTGGCACAAGGAAGCAGACAGCAGCAAGGGGAGAAAGGGGTGGGAGCCGTCCACACGCCCTCCTGCCCAGCAGGCAGCTTCTGGAGACTGAGCCATGGCTGCCTAGACAGGACAACACCTGCACCCCAGAGGCAGGGGCGGCGAGACTGTGGGGGACCACGGGGCAGGCCCAACCATGTCACCCTCAGGCAGCGGGCCCTGCAGGTGCGGGGCAGGGGGCTCACAAAGGCCAGGTGTGACCAGCACACCTCCTGCCATCAACTTGGGAGGCTGCAATGGGCTCGGGATGGCTGAGCTGCCTCTGGCTGCCACTTCCACTCAGGCCCTAGTGGGCAGCATGGTGGCCCCAGGACCCAGGGGACAGCGCCGGCCAAGGGGAGGTTAACCAGGACCACCACCAGCCACATTAAGGTGGGCCAGATGGGGCCTCGCACCTGCAACCCCTCAGGGGCCCAGGGCAGGGAGAGCACAGTGGGTCTCCCAGCCCCTCTTGGGCTGGCTGTTGGCCTCGCCCAGTAGCCCCCACTCCTCCTGGGCCTCAGCCTGGCCTGACCCAGCCTTTCCCCCGGCTTCTGGAAGGTTCCCTTGCCAAAGGGGAGCAGGCCAGAGCCTCAGGCCCAGCCCTGCCACCAGGCCCGAGTCGCCTGGGGGGCTGGGGGCGGGGCGGGTGGGCAGGGTGTATACCTGTCTTCTTTGCTGAATTGGGGGTGGGCTTCAGCGATATCCAGGCTTTTACTGAACATTGCTTTACTACAGCGGGAACAAAGCGAGAAAACAGAGTTACTGCCACAGCGCCGCCAGACGGCCTGGAGGCCAGACCACATAGCTCCTAGCTGTGCGCAGGGCACACAGATGCCAGGGGACATGAGCAGGAGAGCTCCAGGGGCACAGCATCAGCCCCAGCAGGAGGCCCACTGTCACTCAGCACCCTATGGCCAGAAGAGGAGGCAGAGGCCAGGAGCTGGGAGGAAGGGGCTTTCAGGTGACCATCAGCCTGGGTCACACCAACCCACCCTAGCACCCAGCAGCCCATGGCAGCCAGGCCTGGGAAGCAGAGTAGAAGCCATGGCAGGGTGGCCTCCCAGCCCCTACCCCAGGCCCAGGCAGGTGGGGTGGGAGGGTGTGGGGAGGCTGGTGCAGGGAGGGCCAGGTCAGCACTCAGCCAGCCCCGCCGGGTTCCAGCCAGAAGCCAAGGGCCAGGCTTGGGGAGCTGGGCTGAGCAGAGGTATGCCCACAACAAGCAGGGCAGGTGTGGCACTGGGCAGGAGTGTGGCCAGCAGGAAACCTTCCCCCTGCTCCTCCCCTTGCCCCACCCGGTGCCAGAGCCACAGCTGTCTGGAGACCTGGATAGAGGCTGAGCCAGCTGGTTCCCTGGGAGGACCCAGGACCACTAGGGGGCTGTGGGCCATCAGCCCAGGTTAATCTTAATGGTGGCCCGGCTGCCCTGTGGTTCCCCTGTTTGATGGTAAATTCCTTGGGAGGCTTGGCCAGCTCCAGCACCCAGCACCCAGCTGACCAGAGATAGCTGGGGCTGCGTGGACCACCCACGGTGCTCCCCAGGGGGTGGGGCAGACAGCTGAAGCCCCCATCTGGGCAAGAACATTCAACCTCAACCTAACAGCGCCAGGTGAGGATTGGCCAAGGGCCTCACAGCTGTGACTGTGGGCCTGGATGTCTGCTTCCTCCAGGGGGATCTGTTGGGGCGGCCTAGATCTGCTCATCGTCCCCCAAAATTCCATTTTCATGCCCCTTGCACAGCCATAGGGGACCCAAACACGGGACCAGCGGTTAAGTGGGGACTAGGCTGCTGGCTCTGAGCATAGCTGGACCACGATCCAGTCTATTCCACCTCAGGTCAGCCCAATACAACTCAGCCCAACCCAGTCAAGCCCAGCTCAGCCCAGTCCAGTCCAGGGTGGCCTACCAGCCCAGGCCAACAAAGCAAAGCCCTGCCCAGCTCAGCCCGTGCAGCCCAATGCAGCCGGCCCAGCCCCAGGGCGCAGAGATGAGTTAGGCCCAGCACAGCTCAGGAAGGGTGCCTTCACTGATCAGGCCAGGGCACAAGCAAGTAGGGCACTGGGTCCCCCCCGGAGGCATGTACCTCTGGCTGTGCTGGGCCATCTCGATAGCCCGCCGAGCAGGCACCGGAGAGCCGCCGTCTGTCACACTGAGCACCTCCATGGACTTGCGTTCAGGCCGCCGCTTGCCGTGCCGGTTCAGCATTGGGGAGTCCACGCGCTTCCGGGGAGGGTCTGTGTGCAGATAGGGGTCAGGCCGGGCAGCCTGCTGCATCTGGCAGGGCTGGTGTGGGGCCAGGCTTCCCTGGGACTTTGTACCTATTTCGTTCCTGGGGGGCAGGTCCTCATCCTCGTGGCTGGGGTACCTTTCTTTCCGGTCCAGGAGGAGGAAATAGATCATCTTCTCCTGGTTTTCCCTGTTGGGGGTGGGGGGGTGAGAAGGGTCAGCAAGCATGGTGTCCACTGCTGGATGGTGGTCCTAGGGCCACAGCATTCCCTCCCACAGCCCACCATCCCCCGCTGCTGCCTGCAGGACCCCACATGGGACATACTCCTCAGACAGCAGGTCCTGCAGCAGCTTGTTGCGGTCTCGGAAGCAGCCCAGCGAGTGCATGCTGTCCAGCACATCGGGGTCAATGTCCTCCAGGCTGGGCAGTGAGCGGATCTGCACCTTTCGGGGGATGGGCTGCTCTGGCTCAGGCTCGTTCTTGCCCCCTCTGTGGACAACAGGGCACCACCAGTGGTCACTGACCTCGGCAGGCCTAAGGCTCCTTCCCCCCAGCCCTTCCTGGGGACCCTGAGTCCTACTGCTCTCTCCCTGTCCCAGCCCCTGCACACCTCCTGCACGCTGCTGTGCCCAGCGCAGGCATGCCGGGAGTCCCTGAGCGCTGGGCTGAGGCTGGGGGCAGGCCTGCGCTGGGCTGGGTCCTCCCCCCGCCTTCCCTAGCAGGCCCTCCGGCTGCAGCGACAGGCAAAGCAGGCGATGAGTGGGAGGAAAAGCTACTTACATATACCATATGTGTTTCTGAATGTGCTCTAGCTACAAGAGAGAGAAACAGGAAGTTAGTATGGAGGGAGCAGGGAGCCCACGTTAGGAGGCCAGAGGGAGCAGGAGCTGGGAGCACCTGGGGGGGGGGGTGGAGAGGACCATCGTGGAGGAAGAGAGCCAGCAGGAAGAGGGGAGGAGGGATGATGGAGGGTATGGGGAGGGAGGAGGAGGGGAGAAGGATGAAGGGAGGGCAGGGAGAGGACGTGGTGGGAAGGTGGGGGGAGGAGAGGGGAGAGGGTGGGGATGGAGGAAAATGGGGAAGGGCTGCGCGTTCCCAGAGGCTCCAGACTAGCCCCCTGACCCTGCCTCCCCAGTGGAAGAGGAAATGCCAGTCTAGGGAAAGGATGGTGGGGGCTGCAGGTATGGGTAGGAGGCTGGGGGCCCCTGGTGGCTCAGAGAAGGAGGCCTGAGGGAGGAGAGCAGAAGGCAGCCAGGGGTGGCCCACTTGCGGGGAGGGGCTGGGGTGCAGGTGAGAGCAGGGGGCTCAGAGGCCCGCTCTCCAAGTGCCCCTCCACCAGCCTGGGGACAGCTGGGTTGGGGCGGTTGGGAGATGGCCTCTTGGTCACCAGGCCACCCCTGTCCTGGAAAGACCAGTCCAGGGGAGTCCTGCTGCCCTTGCCCTGGGGATCTAATATCCTGGTACCAGCTAAGCCCTGGCTGCCTATGGGCTTCTTTCAGAAGTGGGACTTCCCTCAGAACATCCAACCCCCCATGGTCAGTGTCATGATGAGCTGTGTCCACTGTCAGGGCTGGCCTGGAAGCTGAGGGACGGTGCTAGAGTTGGTGAACGCTGGTCTCCCAGGCACACCTGCAGGACACAGCCAGCAGGAGGCCCCTGTGCACATACCCACATATCCATGCACATTCACACCTGGGCACATGCCCACACATGTGAATACTGCCTGTGCATCTGTGTACATGCACACATGTGCACATACCTGTGAAATACAGTTGTGCAGACACTCTCATGCATGTGCACACACAAACTGTACCCATGCAGGGGCACACACACTTATGAACGGTTCTCATGTGCATGAGTGCACATACCTGTGTACACGTGTATGTGCACACTACTGTGCCTGCACACATGCACTTGCAGTCACACTTATGAAACGTGCAAACAACTGCATGCACTCTCACACATATGCACATTCATACCTGTGCGCGCACACACCTGTGCACACACATAGCTGTGCATTCACTCACGCCTGTGTATAGCCCGCACACCCAGGGGTCCCTGTACCACACTCGCAGGCACAAGTCTCCCTTCCCAGGGAGGTGGCATGGAGATGGAACCTCTACCCCTGGGGGCCCTTAAGTCTGGCCTGGAAGTGTAGGCCCGCACCCTCTGACCCTCTCCGCGCCCGCACGCACCGTGAGGCGCCGCGCCGCATCCACTTCGATCATGCCGCGCAGCAGGCTCTGGCAGTCCGGCGGGATGAAGTGCGGCATGTGGAACACTCCCCGCTTCACCTTCTCCAGCAGCTGCCGCAGGTTGTCATCGTCGAAGGGCAGCGCCCCCTGCCGGCCGGGGACGGGGTCACCGTGGGGCGGGGGACTGGGCGGGAGGGGCGGGACAGAGGGGCGGCACAGAGATGGAAGGGTGAGGGAGGAGGGACGAGCGGGGAGGAGAGGCAGACGGGGGAGGGCGGAGCAGGGTGTGGACGGCGCGGGCTCACCACCAGCAAGGCGAACAGGATCACCCCGCAGCTCCACACGTCCTGCCGGCCGGGGACGGGGTCACCGTGGGGCGGGGGACTGGGCGGGAGGGGCGGGACAGAGGGGCGGCACAGAGATGGAAGGGTGAGGGAGGAGGGACGAGCGGGGAGGAGAGGCAGACCGGGGAGGGCGGAGCAGGGTGTGGACGGCGCGGGCTCACCACCAGCAAGGCGAACAGGATCACCCCGCAGCTCCACACGTCCGCCTTGCGCCCGTCGTACTTTTCTCCCTGCGGGGGGCAGTGTGGTTGGCTTCGTGGAGAATGAGGGACCCAGGTGGAGGGTCTGGGGTCCGCGAGGGCGGGGGTGAGGCCCCTTGGACAGGCAGGGACAGGGGCGCGTAGTGACTACTCACCCGGATCACCTCGGGGCAGGCATAGTGGGGGGACCTGAAGGCAAAAGCAGCCGTCAGGGCGCAGGCTGGGGGCTCGCTGTCCGCCCAGCCATGACCTCGAGGCTGCCCCAGGACCACAGCAGGTGGACGCTGAGAGAGAGGTGCCGTTCCCCCAGCACACGCCGCCCAGAAGGAGGCCCCACCGGGAGCCTCAAGGGGCTTTGCTGCCACCCCACTCCCTACTCAGGGAGGAGACCAGCCTAGGAGTCTAGGGCTCTGCCACCTCTAGGCTGCCCAGACGGCCTGGTCCAAGAAGGCAGACAGAGGAAGGGCCGCGTCACGGACTGGGGTCCCGACCCAGCACCACCGCTGGGAGTGCACGGAGCAGGAGGCTGGTACACCAGCTTGCTCGCCCGGGGCCAGACGGGTCACCAGCAGCCCCCTCACAGCACCGCACATCGGAGCCACCGCCAGGAGCGGAACCAGGGTCCTGCCTGCAGCCCAGGCTGTGCGGTGCTGGACGGGCGCTTGGGGCCTGGACCTCCCTGGCCACGGAGACCACTCACTCCGGGCCCGCAGCTGGTCTCCAGTAGGCTGTCCCCCACCTGCAGGGACGCCATGCCGAAGTCCGCGATCCGGATGTTGTTCTTCTCGTCCAGCAAGAGATTTTCTGGTTTCAGATCCCTGTGGCTGTGAGGGAGGCAGCGGAGGCTGACCTGGGTCCCTCCCCCAAACCCCACCCACACGGCACCCGGCCAATGGCAGCACAGCCTGGTGATGTCACAGGCAGCCAATCGGAAGTCGCCTGCCTGGCGGTTGGCTGCAGGTCTGGGATGGAAGGACTGGGAGCCTCAGGTCGCACCGCGTGCTCCCCCCGGCTCGTGAGCAGGGATCCCGCCCGCTCCCTGCTTCCCCCACACCTGCTCTGGGGCCAACAGAGGGGTGTCTGCTGGCGGGACAGCTAGGCGTGGGTCACGTGGGGGCGGCTCGCACCAGATGGAGTGGCTGTGGCAGAAATCCAGCGCTGAGATGATCTGCCGGAAGAACTTGCGGGCCTCTTTGGGGGTCAGCCTCCCCTTCTTGACCAGGTAGTCAAAGAGCTCCCCACCAGACACATGTTCTAGCACCAGGTATCTGCGGGACGGGCGGGCTTCAGGTGGGTGCACACGTGCAAGCCTGCCTCCAGGGCAGCGACTGGAGGAGCCCATGGTGCCAGGGTCTGGGAGCAGGGCCACACCTGGCCCTCCCGCTGAGAGACCATTAGGCCCCAAGGTGAGCGGGGCACTGTGGCTGCTGACCCTCAAGGAGCTGGTGCATGGTCCTGCGGGCCCTGCCAGCCCAGGCTGGGCTCCCGGAGCAGGGGGACAAGTCAGACAGGGACCCTCAGGGAGCCCTGGCCAGCGGGTGGAAAAAGGGGCTGGAGGTACAGGGGGTGGGGGGCGAGAAGAGTCAGGAGGTAGAGGGCAGGAAGACACTGGGGGATGGTGGCGGGGAGACCCCGAGCCCCTCTGAAGGTGGTGAGTGAGAAGCCTCTGTCCGAGCCCCTGGTGGAGCCTGTGGGGGCTGGTTTCAGGGATGGGGGACCTGGGACTCGTGGGCACTGAAGCCTGTGGGGCCTCAGAGGAGCTTGGACCCGGGCCTGTGCGGACTCCCCTAGGACTTGCTAGTGGGCAGCAGTGGCTTTCGGGAGGGAGAGGGACGAGAGGAGAGGACAGAGCAGGGGGAGAGGCGCAGGGCAGGGGGTGGTGGGGAGGAGGGTGTGGGACCGGCTGTCTCCAGAGCTGGTCTTGTAGGACTCAAGGGGTCAGTGGGGGGGGGGGCACCCTCAGGGCATAAGGAGTCTGTCTGTGGAGAGGAGAGGGGGAGGGGCTGGAGACACAGGGCAGGGGGCACTGGGTGGTACTCACGGGGGGGGGGGGCAGGAACGCCAAGGCACAGCACAGGCCGGAGGTGCCCTGCAGGTGCCCTGCCTGGCCTCAGTGACCCAGGCTTGCTACTGCACTTCCAGGCTCCCTGAGCTGTCTTGGGACTCCTGACCCCTTGGGAGGGGGCTGGCCCCAGCAGGACCTGGACCAGCCCCCTGTCCACCTTCATCCTAGGCATCCTGCTCCCGTCACCAGGCCTTTGCCCGAGCTGTATCCCCTCCTCGGGCTGTCCTCCTAGACCAGTGGTTCTCAACCTTGGCTGCACATTAGAATCACCTGGGAATCGTTTTAAAATCCTGATTCCTGGGCCTCATCCTCCGGAAATTCTGTTTCTTTGTTACTAATGATGTGGCCCCACCCCATAAAGAAACAGAATTTCCGGAGGATGAGGCCTAGAAATCAGGATTTTAAAAAGATTTCCAGGTGATTCTAATGTGCAGCCAAAGTTGAGAACCCCCGTCCTAGACCCTTCCCTGCTTCCTGTCCCCCCGCCCTCTCCCCAAGGTGGCCTCCTCAGAGCCAAGTGCTCTGCCCCTTGCCCTCGTGTATCTCGCCAGGTGGTAACCGGTGTCCTGCATGTTGTACACAGAGGTGGGCCAGGCCTGCCCCAGCTCCTGCCTGCCTCCCAAACTCATGGGACATCACCAAGGTACTGCAAGACAAGCCGCCATCAAGCCAGTGGGTGTGTCTGTCGGTGCCCTTGTCATGGTTCTGATGGTGGCCGAGTTCCTGCGGCTCACCAGTGTCGGCCCCAACACCATGACCAGCCACCCTGCTCCTCAAGGCCCCCACATGGGGCAGCTCCGTCACCCATCCTCAGTTAAACACTGGAGCTGGCCATTCGTGCCATGTTGGGACCCCTGCCCCTTGACCCCTACCCAGCCACGCCTCCAGGAAGCCCTGTCCCCCATAGTGGCTCAAGGTGGTGGCTCTGTGAGTCCCCGGTGTTTGGTCAAGGAGCAGTGATGCCACTGCCCGGGACTGTTACTGAGACCGCCCTGCCTGGCCCCACTGCCCGAGGGGCTGCCCGTCTCCTCCCCAGGCCCCTCGGCCTCCACTCTGGCCACCCCAACTCTCCAGACCCAGCAATACCTACAAATATTTTTTGTTTTCATAAACGTCGTGCAGCTTGAGGACGTGGGGGTGTTCGATGAGCTTCAGGATGGCGATCTCCCGCTCCACCTGCGGAGGAGGAGTGCATCACATGTGCTTGCCTGTGGGGCGTGGACCCCGGCCTCGACCTCCCCCTCCCCTGGAGCCTCGGCTGCTGGGAACACAGAGGGGAGGTGTGGGCCCAGCCCCTTGGGGGCACCGCTGTGGGCTCTTGGGTGCAGCTGGGGCTTTGGGGCAGGGCCAGTCTAGCCACAGGGTCTCCACCTGTGGGATGGCCTGGCCTACACGGCATCACACACAGCCCCACGGGTGTCAGGGCCACCTCCAGGCCCCTGGCCCAACTGCATGTGGTCCCTGCCAGGCCTTCAGGGGGATGGGCCCCAGTTGTATCCCCAATCCCTTTCCCCCAGCTCCTGCCTCTCCACTTGGACATCTCAGAGTCCCAGTCGGAGTCCAGGACCTCAGCCAAGTGCTCCCCAAGGCAGGTCAGAATGCACCTGGCCCCACCGGCACTGCCCCGCCCAGCCAAGCAGCCGCCACCTCCCCTAAAATCACCCGCCCAAGTCCCCTCTACCCTCAGCAGCCAGAGGGGTCCTCACTGCTGTCACTGGCCCTCCCCCACCTAAGCAGAGTGCTGTCCTCACCCACCTGGGTCCCTTCACTGCAGCAGAGCCCTGGGCCTGCCTGTGGCACTGACCGCAGGGCCAGCTCCCACCCCACTGGCCCTGCGTGCCCCGCCCTCGCTCACCTTCATCAGCACAGACTCACTGAGCTTCTCCCGATTGACGATTTTGATGGCCACCTTCTGGCACGTGACACAGTGAATGCCCAGCTTCACGAGGCCTGTGGGGAGAGAAGCCCGTCAGACCCACCCAGGGCCTTGCGGACCCTCAGACGTGCCCCACCCCAGAGTGGTCTGGGTGGGGGGGGGGCCTGACCAGGAGGGATGCCACTCACTCCCGACCACAGCCCCTCACTCCGGGTCTGGCCTCTGCCCCACCCTGCCCTTCAGTGTGCCTCCAGCTGGACTCCTGTGCCACTGTCTGCCCTCCCACACTCCCTGGTCACAGCCCAGGACAGCTCTGCCCCCCATCCCCACACCCAGTTCCCATGTGGGTGACGCTGAGTCTTTCCCCCAGGCCTTCAGCTGCCCAGATGCCCCCTGCAGGGGAGCTTGGGTGCCCTCAGGCCCAGGAGGCCCCATCCAGGCCCCTCCCCCCAGCACACTCAGCCTCTGCCACCCTCCTTTCAGCCTGGACAGAGGCACCCGAGACAGGACAGGCCACGGTCATCCAGGGCAGCACACCGCAGCCTGCCTTGCACTGTCCGCCTGGAGCCCCCACTGGGGGGACTCCCCGATAACTGCTCTCCTGGCCATACTTCAAGGACCCTGGCCCTGGCCCCCTTGTCATGTGGGCCGAGCTGGGTGCCTGCCTCTCCTCCTGCCCCCTCCGTGCAGGGACCGGCCACCACCAGCCTCTCCCAGCAGCGCCCAGCCCCCTGCCAGCTGCCCCCTGCTGGACTGCTCTGTGGCCTCGGGCCCCAGACACCCTGCCCTCCCCTTCCTGATTTGGGGGGCCTGTTAGCCACGACACTGCAGCCTGAGGGTGACTTAGGCTGTTTTAAGGGATGCAGACCACGTCAGGACTCCCCGCTGTGAACGCTGAGGGACACCACACTGTCATTTCCGACTTCAGAAGGTGGCCCCACAGAGCCCCTCCTCCCTTGTCATCGTCACCCACCTCAGGTTCCAAATGCTTGGGTTTGTCTCCGCCCCTTTTTACACTGGGGGGGGGGGGGGGGCGGTTAGTTACCAATTCACCAGCCCTTTGTGGTGTGTCCCGCACCCATGCCTCCTTCCCAGCCTCCTGCAGGGAGGCCTCCTCCAGCGGCCACAGCCTCTGCCTTGTGGCCAAGAGATGAGGCTGTGCCCCCCAGAGGCACAGCACCAGGCTTGAGGGTAGGGGGCCCTGAAGCTGTGATGCCCACAGGGTCTGCTCGCTGAGCCAGGCCCCTGCTGAGAAGGGCAGCAGGCTCCTGGGCCTCTCCCTGGCGGCCTCTGATCTGCTCAGTGGCCCTGTGGTTCCAGGTCGGGCGGGAGAAGGCAGCACCATCCACCCATCAGAGCCAGTGGCCTGGGGACTCCACTGCCTCCAGGAACAACAGGGCTGGCACCTCCTCCGGTCCTTGGCCCAGACATGGAAACAGGAGGGAGCAAGACAGAGTGAGAGGGAGAACTGTCTGGCAAGTCCCCAAAACAGGTTGATAGGCCGAGAGGAACCAGGGAACAGCGGTGACAGGAAGCAAAGGCCACTAACTTCCCTGAGAGAGCCAAGCTCCTGCAAGTCCTCAGCGCCCAGGGCGGATGCCAGATGAGGTGGGTTCCTGAGAGACCCCACAGGGCAGAGGCGGGGGCGTGAGGCAGGCGGCTTGGCCCTAGGCCAGCTCTGCAGGGCTGTTCATGTAGCAGAACATGAAGAACAATGTCATGTCCCCAAACAGTGCAGAGTAGTTACGGCTGCTCAGCAGCTACTGGACAGATGTGGAAATTGTGACGCCACCAAAACGGACAGACCAGGCGGAGGACGCTGGTTAGCGCCCAGCCTGCGCAGGAAGCACATGCACACGAACGCACTCACACACGCTCCACGAGGGTCCCCAGGAGGCAGACGTCACAGACGTGCGGGGAATTTCCTGCTTCCAGAAGAGGAAGCGCTGGGCCTCAAACTGACAGGGAGACAAAGAGCAGTGCCAGGGACCCTCCGGAAGCAGGAAACTAGAGGCGGCCGATGACAACAGCTGTCTGCTGAGCGGAACACACCCGGCACCCATTTCACAGATAAGGAAAGGCGGAGGCTGTGTCACCAGCTGGTATACAGAAAGGTGGGGAGGGCAAAGGGCACAGCGAGTGAGGTGCCCTGGATGAGCCCCACGCTGCGGGCACCCTCAGAGCTGCTCGTGGACACATGGCTGGGGTGTGTCCTGGAACTCTGGTGGCTTCCTCCTGCTTTCATTCTCATCCACCTCCTGCCTCCCTGCCCTGCAGACTCCTATACATCCCTCAAAGCCCAGCATAGAGGGGCCCCTCCTTGGTGAGGCTTCCCTGCCACCTGGGCAGATCAGCCCTGAGTGTCCTGGTCCCCCCCACAGCCGGGATCTCTGGGGCGGGACGGGTGGGTTCCGAGCAGCCCAGCCAGTCCCTGGGGACAGGCAGTGGGGGGTCCTCCACAGGAGCCTCCTGAGTCGCTGCAGCCTCAGGCGGGCAGAAGCAGCTCCTGCTGGGGAAGCCCACAGCCGCCCTAATCACCCAGCCCTCCAAGTGCTCAGGCTCATTATCCAATTGGTGTTTTATCTCTAATTATTGCCTTTATAGCAAACACAGGCTCACATGGAGAGAGGAAAGTACACCATGTCACACTGTGGGAGGCGCCGCGGCAGTCTGCGCCGGCTGGTGTGCTCGGAAGAGGGGTTTCCCGAGTGCTGGCCGCTTCCCTGGGTGAGGACTGGGGTGCGATTCCTACAGTTACTGCCCCCAAAAGACACTCGCAGTAGCTCCCAGCCCACTGCCTGGGCCAGGCCCGCAGACGGCCCATGTCCCCTGTCCCCCAGGACTCTCCCAGCTGCCCCTTAACAGGTGGGGGAGGAGGTTCTATGGCCTGGAGTCTGTCCAGTGAGGGCTTCGTACCCCCGAAGGCTAAGAGCCATGTGGAGAGGGGCCTGACCCGCCTCCCCCTCCTCTTCTCAGGGCTTTTAGCTTCTGGTGCCTCCTCCCTGAAGCTGGCCTGTGTCCTATCCTGTGGGACAGCCTGAAGGAACAGTGACAACACAGCACGGTGACCTGGGACCTTCCCCTGCGGGTCTCCGGCGTGCTGCACGTGCTGGGCGTCTGGCTAGGCCAGGAAGGTCCTCACCAATGGAAACCCACACCCACCGGCCCTGTGACCCCGAGACAACCCGGTGGCCTCTGCTCGGCACCTGGGAAGCGCCCGGCCTGCTGGCAGAGTCCTGTGACGACCACACAGGTGCCGAGGCTCCTCCGCCGCCGGCAAAGCCCTTCCCCATTCAGATCACCGCCCTCTAGACCACGTCTCCCTGAGCGCCCGCTGTGGGGCGTGGAGCCCGCTGAAGGAGAGAGCTGGCCTGGAGTCTGAGGCCTCCAGGAGCACAGGGCAGACCTGGGGCCGCCCTGTTTCTGCCTCAGTTATTCTCAAAGCTCCGCAAACCTGCCCCCCACCTCCCCCTTGTTTTCTCCCCCACACAGTCTCCATGACAGCCCAGCAGAGGTCCTGTCACCCACTGACTGGCCCAGTCACAGCCCTTCCCCAATCCCTCCACCTGCCCTTCCTCCCCAGCCACAGACCTGCCCCTCCCCCAGTGGGGTCTGTGCTCCAGGGCCCTGGAGTTTCTGTCCCTAAAGTCCTTCTGGCCTTTCCCGCCCCCCCCCCCATTTCCTCCTGTCACAGACAAGTCCTGTCCTCCCCTGGGCCATGCACGTTAGTGCCACAGGCTACCTTGCTGTACAGTGCACCAGGCACCTGGCTGCGTGTCAGCTGGTCCTTGGGCACGGGTGACCAGAGGGCAGCACCCCGAGACTTATGGGGGACAGGATGTGCCAGAGTCCCAGCTCTGAGTCCACTGCTGAGCCAGGAGGAGGAGCAGGGCGGCCTCCGGGTCCTGCCACTAATGCTCACAGGACCACTCTGAGCGTCACTGACTCCTGGGACAGCAGACTCCGTCCCCCTCCACCGCTAAAGCTGTGCCTCTGGGACCACGTGGCCAGCTCCCCGGGGCCACGAGCACAGCTAACAGTGACCCACTTTCCGCCACCTCACAAGCCTCACCGTGGGGGTGTGGGGGGCAGTTTCTGCCCCAAGCGCAGCAGACGCCCCTCCTGCCTGGGCTCCTTGGAGGGATGACCGCACTGGCTCTTGGAAAAGTGAGTCAGCAGAGTGGGCCGCCCGGAGCCAGTACGGCCTCCTCTGGCCTGGCAGCGCGTGGGCACCGGGGAGAGGCCTCGGGGAGCAGGCAGGGGCAGACGCAGCGCTGCTGCCCTGATGAGAGGGCCACGGGACTGCGGGGAGGACAGGGCCCAGTCCTCCACCCCCAACAGCCTCTGCTGAGCGACCTGGATTGGAGCTCGCAGCCTGCAGGCTGCCCTTGACCATGCCGGGACCTGAGTGTCCCAGGAGCTGCTGCCAAGGACACTGTCCCCACAGGGACCACAAACCCCACGCCCCGGCCAGGACCCCCATACCAGCCTGCTGTGCCCTCACCACGGCCCTCACTAAAGTGGGGGACTCCCTGGCGGGACTCCCAGGCGGCCTCCCTGGCGGGAGTGGCAAGACCACGGCCACTCCCCTGGTCTGCCTCCACCCCTGCCTGCTGGCCAGCTCCCCTCAGGTGAGAGAGGAGTGGGGGAGTCAGCTGCTGGGGGAAAGCAAGGGCCTGCCTGGCTCCCAGGACTAACCCCTCCTGTGCCCGGACTGGAGTGAGGAATGGAGGGGACAGTCAGTTGCTGGAGCTCCTGCTGGTCCTGCCAGGGACCTCCAGGTGACCAAGCTCCAGATGATGGCCGAGGGCTTCTGGCAGCGAGCTGAGCCTTTCCTAAGCCCCCAGAGACGCTGAGGGATTTGCCTGGGGTCCCAACCACAAATGGAGTGCGTGGCCCCAAAAAGATGCGTTTAAGTCCTAGTCCCTGGACTGCCCGAATGTGACCTTGTGTACAGAGCTGGCTTACGAGACCCCCTGCACACAGAGGCCTTAACCGCAGTGAGTTCTTCCAGGAGAAAGACAAGGAGATGGGCATAGACTCAGGGCGAACCCCGGGAGCTGGGCCCGCGGCC